CCATTCATCAGTTGCTGAACATTTAGGTTGTTTCCCCTACTAAGTTACATTTATTAAGATTTTACTCTGTGCCAGTTATCACCTGGCTAAATTCATCCCATTTTAGATAAGAAGTAGAGTATATTAAGAACTTGCTGAAGATTTAGAGCTATAAAGTAGGAGAGCTAGGATTTGAACTCAGGCATTTAGGCCTCAGAAGTAACAGATTCAGCATAGAACATTAGATAAAGATAGAAAGGGGGAATTTCACCCATTTCCCAATGTTTCAAATATATCCACCTCCCCTCTCCCTTAGAGACACCTACTTTTGCCACTTTGAAAATTAGTCTGGGGAAATTATTTATTTCTATCCCAACTTGATTGTACCATGAGTTATTGAATAATCTGTCCCACTGACTTGAGATATCTTTTTTATAGTATACTAAATTCCCATAAGTATTTGCATTACTGGATTAATAATTAGCCTGGTGTTTTGCCTTTTATAGTCACCATTTCTCTAGAATACTTTTTATCTCCTTTTGATTTTTAAAATGCTTTACTTCTTAAGACGTTACCCATTATGTTCATTCATTTTTCTTTTATCAGCTTATTTCTTATTTATTTATTGTTTTTGAGTTGGGGTTTCACACAGTTGCCAAGGCTGGAAAGCAATGGCACAATAAGGGCTATCCAAAGCCTCAAACTCATGCACTTAATCAAGCCTCCTGCCTCGGCCTCCCTAGTACCTGAGACTACAGGTATGCACCACCAAATCAGGCATTTGTGTGTGTGTGTGTGTGTGTGTGTGTGTGTGTGTGTGTGTGTGTGTGTGTTTGGAATGCTGTTTGTGTGTGGCGGGGTTGGGGTTGAACTGCTTTTCCAGCAAGGGCATGTGGCATTTCTGAAGGCATTTTCAGGGCGGTAGCCCTGCAGCAATGACTCCTTTTGTAAGTGGGAAATCGCTCCCCCAGAAAAACATACAGGTCACATTCAGCTGCCCACTTTTTGTTTCTTGTTTAAACTTTAAAGTGATCATAACTGAACCCCGAGACTGAAAATATCAGACTTGGGAAGGAATAAGGCTTTCCGGATTCCGATTTTGCCAGTCCTTCTTTCCCAAGGCTTGACATTTGGATCCTAGTGCCTCCCCTCTGCCTGTCCCTCATTATTTTTTAAAGAACCTGGAATTTCATTCCATTCTCTCCATTTGCTTCTACAACCCTGTAGAATTGCGCTGGGAAAGTGACCTGGGATGCCCAGGAATTCTCTAGAACTCTTTGTCTTTAAAGAAAAAAAAAAGTATTCTGTTAGTTGCTTGAGCTCCATCCTTCTGAATTGTGGGAAAACTGTGGGTGTCTGCCTGCCCACATCATCGCTGATGGGAGCTTTGTTTTCTGCTTGTCTTTTCCCCAAGGAGATGATAGAAAGTGACATCCCATCCATGATGTCAGGAATTATTCGAAACTCAGGGCAAAACCACCACCCCTCTCCACAGGAATACAGGTGAGGGCTTCATCAATAACACACTCTATATTTTTTAATTGTTCAAAGTGTTCCCATTCTGTTTGTGCTTTCTGAAACTGCCCCAGAACTATTGTTATGTTCAGTGTTGTGGGTTTGCAGAAGAGCCAGGTCTTGATTTCAGAGTTGGTCTCTCTAAGGATGTCTGGACTTGTGGCTTTGACCCAGTGGGATCACTAGATGCCTGCAAGTCTCCTGTCCTCCACAAGAGAAGTCCCCTCCTCGGTTGTACTGTTTGGGCATCTTAATGAATGTCAAGATGACAATAGCAGCTATTACTTCCCCTCTGGTGGCCTTAGTGGGGACTCTAGGAAATGTTCCCTCAACCCCAAAAAAGCTTTCTGGAAGGAATTGGCTTCTATCCTCCATGGATGTGGAAAAGTTGTGAGCCAGAACTCCTGGGTTCTTAGCCTGCCTCTGCAACTTTCAACAAATCCTTTGCTCTCGCTGGGCCTCATTCGCTCAGCACTTAAATGCTGTTGTTAAATTAGATGAACTTGAGGCCTCTTCTAGGTCTTACATATTAGAAAAATAAGTTAGAGGAAAACTGAGACCAAAATAAGTTATTTCTGGAAACAGAATGAAGGAAGGCACGAGTGAGAGGTGGGCAAAGTCCCTAGAGGCTTTCCTCTTTTTTCTATCAAGCCTCAGAGCTGGAAAGGCTCTTAGGGGTCAACCGGTTCAGTGCCCTGCCACCACCTTTCCTTTGCAGATAGGGAAATTGAAGCCAATAGAGGAGAAGGGCGTTATCTGAGGTCATGCGGTGACTGGGAGGGAGGAAGGGGAAAAGGATGGACCTGAAGCCCCCTCCCGGCCTCTCTCCCTTGAGGCCAAGTAGGTCTGACCTGGTTTCCAGGGTCCCACCCCCCCCAAAGCAAGCACCATGTCTATGGGTTGAAGGGACACAGTCCAGATTGTGGAATGGGGACAGGACCAGGACTGGCCTGGGAGGGGCAGGCTGTCACCTCCGGTCAGCCCTGTTTACCCAGGGGTTGTCTGGCCCCCCGGGGTCACTGCAGCTCACCAGCAGCACCTGCTGGGGCAGACCGCAGCCCCCAATTAGAGGCTGCTTCCTGCGGGCTGTGGGCCTGGGGGCTGCCTTCCCCACTCCAAGTGAGACCGAAGCAGGTATTTTCAGGGAGACCACTGTGTGCAGAGCTGGGCCCAGGCTCACAGCAGTTTGTGAGCACCTACTGCGTACCATCCCCTCCTCTCACCACAGCCCATGAGGCTGCCCTGATGTGCAGGTGAGGAAACTGAGGCTCAGAGAAATGAAGTGGCTTTCCCCAAGACCACGCAACCAAGTGTGGGCTTCCTTCCAGCACTAACGGGGTTTAAACAGTGTCGAGTGGGTTGGAGTGGCGTAAGGGTTAGCAGCGTGGGCTCTTGACTCCATTAGAGTCCCAGTTGCTCCCAATCACTGTGTGGTGCTCTCTGAGATTCAGTTTTCTCATCTTTAAAATGGTGATGGAAATAGCACCCACTGCATGAAGTTGTTATGACAGCCAAATAACCATTTCTGGCTTGGCTACTCACCAGTTGTCTGATTCTGAGCAACTTCACCCTTGAACTTTCAGGGGCTTGTACAATGGGGATAGTGAAAGCTACCTCTGGAGGGTTCCATGAGGTATTTATTACCCGTGAAAGTACTAGTCGCCCTGCAGGCACGAATATCTCAGGGTGAATCTACCTCTGCCCTCCTTGCTAGAAGCCTTGAGTGCTGGTCCTCCCCCCACCCCAGACTGGCTGTAAGAGCTCAGAGACAGCGGTTCTTATTGTCGCCTAAAAGCACCCCATAAAAGCACTGGAGGTGGGGGGCTCAGAGGGCTGGAACAGCTGTCCAGAGCCAGACACATGCGGCTTTCCAGTCCAGTTTTGGGAAGGGCCCATGGCATGCTTCGATTTCCTCATCTTGGAAATGGGCACGATGAGGGCTCATATGGTTTCTGGGAGGCACAGAGCAGAGACACATCATAAATAGTTGCCGTTACCATGTAGTCACACTAAGGAGTCCCGCTTTCTGCAGGAGACGGTCTGTGGAGGGCTTTCAGGTGGGGAGTGTGGAGGAACTGCGTGAGAGTGGGTGGAATCCTTGGATCCAGGCACCCAGTGGGCCCAGCAGGGGCTCCCACCAGGCTCAGCCCAGGGCCCTGGTGCCTCGGGTGGGCTGTCTGGACCACACACACTCACAGACTCTCTGAGGCTCTGGACAGCTGCCCCTCTCTAAAAACAGGCCAAGGTGGGCAGAGAGATTTGTTGGGGGTCTAGCTGTGCCTATGCATTCACAGGCCAGCTGGCAGGGGTGGGTGGAGCAGGGAGGAGCAGGCCTGTTCCCATCAGCCCCGGGGTGCCCTGGCTCCTGACTTGCCGCAGACCTTTGGTGTTCACATGGATTCAGGGCTGTATTCTTATATGGAACAGCCAGAGTATTCAGAAGGCAAAATAACACCATCGTCATCTTAGCAGCTGCTGGTTTCTTAACCCCTTACTCTGCCAGGCTCTCGGCATAAATCCCCTTCGAATCCTCAAAACTACCCCAGCAGGGTAGTACTCTGGTGCCCATTTGGCAGATAAGGAAACCAAGGCTCAGCCACCTTAAATGTCCTAACAAGATGACGCAGCTAGCGGTGGGTAAAGTGGGGACTCCATCTTGAAGCTGCTGCACCCTGAGATATTGTGACCACCCATCCCACTTCCCCCAGCTGGGTGCTGGGACAGAATACATTGCTTCATCACCTCATAGCTGTGTGTCCCTGGACAAGTCACTGCCTCTTTCTGAGCCTCAGTTTCTTCATCAGTGAAATGGAGCCATCAGAGAGCCCAACCTGCAGGTTGCTGGGAGGATTCTGCACCCGCAGAGGGCCCAGGCAGTCAGTGACCTGGGACAGAGTGCTTGTTCTTGGAGGGGGAGTTTTGTAATTGTGTAGCGACCTCCAACTGCTCCCATTTTTCTCCCCAAATAATAGCCCAGGAGCAGTTTATAGGCTTCTCATTTGCCCTCCCATGTCTCCAGAAAGAGGCACCGAGGACCACTTGGGCTGCTGGTCCAGCCCCCCGTGCAGCCCCGCATGCAGCCGCCTGGCCCTCCATCCCCCGGGACCAAGTTTGGCCGTTAGCTTTCAATGGCTGTGTGCAGGAGGGCGGGGCTGGCAGCTGGAGGTGGTTGCCCTGTCCCTGGAGAGTTGTCAGAAGTCACTGGCAGGGCCTGGACCGCCAACTGGCAGCAGCCTCCTAGCCCGCTGCTGACACTAGGACGGGGACTAGAGGCTGGGGGCTGGGGCGTGCCCGACCTCCTGGGCAATGACCAGTGGGCTGTGTGTGAAGGGGCTAACTGGGTTTCTTCTTAGCTCAGAGGGTGGGAGGGAAGTCTACCCTGAGAGGCGCTAAGAAATAGAATTATGAAGTGCCTACTGTGTGCCAAGCACCTGCTAAGCAAATGCCCCCTCCCCATTTCATCTTCATAGTAACAACGAGATAGGTGCTGATGTGATCCCAATTTACAGACAAGGGTACTGAGGCCGAGATGTGACTCACCCAAAGGCACATGTTTAAGAAGGGGAAGAGCTGCAGATATTTAACTACCTGCCCCACCTTTGGAATTTATTCTGGAGGTCAGGTCCAATAAGTGCCCTTTACAGTTTGGGAAACCGAGGCCCAGAGAGATGATAGAGGTGTGCTTCTGACTCCATAGACCCTCACCTTCTCCCAGGGCCATGAGGCTTAGTCCCTTTTCTGTCAGGTGCCCGCTTCCTAGAGCCTCAGTCTCCACTCTGAGAAATGAGGTGACCTTGGGGAGACCTTCCCCGCTCTGCATGGTGGTTCTCTTCTCTGTGAACTCCGTGCTGGGTGAAAGGTTGATACTTCATAAATATGCATTGGACGGATGGACTGACAGAAAAGAATCACATGAGCAATAACATCCCATGGAAACCCACAGAGGTTTCCTGCACAAGTGACAATTAGATCCTCTTGAGCCCATACTGTGTGGGGCATGGGGAGATAGATGGTTTAGCCCCATATTGGGTGGCTCCGCCCATTGACTATAACCCCTCCCTGGGGGGGCTCCCTCTGCCAGAGCAGTCCTCATCCAGTGTCTTCCCATCTACCTTAGAGTGGAGAGAACAGCTCTGCAGGCTATGCATGGGCAAGAAGAGAGGTGGCCTTCCTGGGGTCCAGCCCTCTTTTGGGGTCTTGGAACACGCATGCCCACTCAACCACATGCCAAGTCCCAAGCCAGTTATTTCTCTAGAAAGGAAAATTTCCTTTTTCCAGACTCCTAATCAGATCACTTCAAATTGCACTCACTCTTGGTCCAGTTGGGAACTTCTGAGTTTGCTAAATTGTGTTTGATTTTCTTTTTCCTGTAAACAGTCACAAAAGCTGTGTTAGCTACGTAAACACATGCATGAGATGCTTAATCCCTTTTTGTGTAATGGTTGGTTTGGAAACAAGAACAGTTTATGATGATGTAACAGTTTCATAAGAAGAACAGCTGTGTCATAAGAAGACAGATGAAACCTCCCTATTGTAATCAGGGCGGAAGTGCCATCCCATGTAGGGCTAGACATGCCTCTGAGCTCTTGGGACGGTGATCTGACCCTGCCCTCAGCCTCAGAAACAAGATTTGCCAGGCAGACCCTTCCTGTTGACAGTATGAGGTAAGAGGAGACAAAGCAGTGGGAAGTTGGAAACAAGCATGGTTTAAACAAGCACCTACTGATGTCGGCCCTCGGATCTTAGTCTCACATCTGCTCCTATAGCAGGAATCATTATTCTTCTATTTTACCTATGGGGAAACTGAGGCACAGAGAGGAGAAGCGACTTGCCCCAAACCACACAGCTACAAAGAACTTGAGATGGGATTTGAACCCGAATCAGATGTTCCTTCCTCAGTGCAATCGCTCTGTCAACCCAAGGAACCCCAAGATAGGAAGTAGAGCATTAACTGTGGGCTCCAGACTTCAGCTATGCAGGCAAAGATC